CGAACACAGCGCCACACAGCGCCTGGGTGATCGGTACGCTGGCGCGCATCCCCGCCTTTTAGTGTCACTCGAACCGTCCCGCCACTCCTGCAGCGCAGCACGTTTCATCATTCAACCGAACCCGATCTATCCATCTTTATTTCCACTCCTGATTGGGACGCAGCCCTGCCGCCGCCAACTACTGCAGCCTGCTGCCGTGTCTTGCGCCGGTCTGGAGCGCCTCCGGGACGGCAGCGGCCAGCTGGCGCCGCGCGCCGGTCCGAGCGCCGGGCGGCCGCCGAGCTGAGGCAGGACGTCCTGGTGCTGGGCATGACGCGCCGCGTGGCCGCCTCGTTATAATGTTCCGGGACGCGGCGCGCGGACCGTGCGTGACAGTGGTGCGGCCGGCGTTGTTGTGCGACTAAAAGCTACTATTCTGGTCAGGAGATGTTTTGTGGTGCTTGTTTTGGTCCATGCACACAAAGGCTGTTTAATTCACGGTGCCAAATGGCTCCAGCGGAGGGAACCATTAACTGCCGCACAGCTATGCCCATGGCTGGAAGCGAGCTGTACCATGATATTTTGTGTGTGATAATAGTCATATTTCATTTTCTGCCACTCAGCCGTGGTGCTGCAGCGTAGTGCGCCGCCTGGCCGCTCCTCGGCCACTCGTGTTCCAGATGGCTTCACAGCTGCTCCTGCGTGACAACCTCGCAGCTCACAACCTCCAGACCCCGAGCGCCCCCCTCCAGAACCCGTATGCCCTTCTCGAGCCCTGTGCGCCCTCCTCGAGTCCTGTGCGACTTCCTCGAGTCTTGTGCGCCCTCCTCGAGCCCTGTGCGCCCTCCTCGAGCTCTATACGAGTTCCTCGAGCCCTGCGCGCCCTCCTCGAGCCCTGTGCGACTTCCGCGAGCCCTGTGCGCCCTCCTCGAGCCCTGCGCGACTTCCTCGAGCCCTGTGCTTCCTCCTCGAGCCCTGTGCGACTTCCTCGAGCGCCGCCCGCCATTCTCCGGCGTTTTTGCCTCCATCGCACCGTGTTCGCCCACCAAACTCTGTTCCTCCGCCGGTCGCCGTTCGTCTTGCTCGGGCCGCGTTCGCCCACATGATCACGTTTGCCCGCCGCCGCCGCCGCCGGTGGGCCGACTCAGCAGCGACCTGATCCGCCCAGAGCCGGCGTCGTGGCGGGGGCTCAGGAGCCGACGGCGTTAATTAGGGCGCCGTCGCCGAGAGCCGTCTCGCAGTCCCGTGACGCCGCGCCCCGCGTACTAATGCCGGGCGGCCCGGCACCGCGCTGGCGCGCGCCGCTGATAACCTGGCGTGGCGTGCCATGTCTTGCGAGGGCCTGCTTATGCTCACGCCTGTTGCCGTCGGCGTGGCCTTGTATTAAGAGGCCCGTGGGTGTCCTGGGAGGCTTGCAGTATCCGTCCGTGTCCCACCGTTCGGTCAATGCCCCGGCGCCGGAGAGACGCCGTCGCTGGCCCCGGCAACACGGCTCCATCAGATGACCTTCCGGCCGGCGCCGCTCCCGTATTCTGTGAACGGCGTTGGGGGATGTGAGTTCGCCGACGAAACGATGGGACCGAAAATGTCGACCGTCGCTACGACTCTGAACTTTGATTTCATCCGCCGGCCGCTCTGTGGGTTATGCAAGCATCGGTTCTTTGATGCGTATCCCACGAATTCCTTTCCCGTTCGGTAAATGTATTTCTCTGTCGCCCGACAATGCGCTAACAAGCTGGCCACTCTGCACGCTTGCATTGTCTTCATCTGCAAGCGTGCCGCAGATGTTGCACTCGTTGAGCACTTATTCGCGGTGGTATGTCGCCGCGGACGCGTCATTCTTTCTGTTGGAGCTGGTGCGCGGCTGTCGGCGAACACGGGGAGGGGGCTCGGTGACCGTCAGCACGGCGTGGACGTGAACTGGCACCAGCCGGCAGTGTGCGCATGGCGTGTTGCCGTCGGTGCAGCGTCTGGAGCTCAAACGGCGGCGGATGACGCGCTTCGACCCGGACATCGCTTGCGGTGTGCCGCGTCCTCACTCATTACTGTCTGGTGTCGAGATCGTGAGTGACCATCGTGCTGATCTGAGGTCACGACACATGGTCTGCTTCCCGTTGTTGGGTGTGCGGAACCGGTGGTCATGTTCTGGAGGCGCGTGACCGGACCCTGACGAGTTTCGCCCTCCGCGTACACCATAGGCAGGACAGAATTCGCCGCTAGTGATGGTCAGCTGGACCCGCCCTTCCGACAGATGGGGGTGGGGGACGGGGGGGGGGGGCAACGGGTCAAACGGCGGGCGGAGAGATCCCCCTTTCAGTTTGAATCCTCCCGTGGACTGTATCACAGTACGAGTACGATTCATCTGCCGCGGGAAGTGGAAAGTCCTCTAAAGAAGAAAGCCCCCCCCCTCCCGCTCCGACGCCTATAGGGTGATGGGAGACTCATCTTCTTCGGGTATGGGGTGGGGGGGGGGGGGGAGGTGGTGCCGGCGGGAGTGGCTCATCCGCTTCTCTGACGTGCTCGGCGCGCTCTGGTCCCTTCAAGCTCGCCGGTCGACAAATGGAGGCGCGCCGGGCATAGTGCTGCACCGCCGTCCGGCCACGCGCGGCGCGCGCGCACGGTATCGGGTGTCACACGCGACGCCCAGCCGGTCTCGTGTGGCGTGCGCTGGTGCAACGCCCAGGACAGCTGGCTCACGACAGTGGGGTTGTGCGTGGGAGGTCTGTGTGCTAGGGAGGGGGGGGGGGGAGCGCGGAGTGGGATTGAGCATGTCAAAGCCGGTCCGCAATCGACGGTGAACATTTCGATGGTGGAGACTTGCAAAGACGCGCCCAACTCCATCTGCATTTAGCACCTCACAATTGGACGTCTGGGAATCTATGTATTGGAAAATATCCGCTGCACGTCCCTCGAAACATCGAATTCGAGCCTGATTCTGGCAGGTGCCGGGCGCGTAAATCTCGTTACCTGTCGGGCGGGGATTCGACAGGTCCGCCGTCGGCGGCCGGCCGCGTCCGAAAGTCTAACCCCCGCCGCCGCGCCTCCTGACGTCCAGACGGAGTCAGTGACGGCGGCGTGCCGCCTGGTCCCCTGCATCGGGTCAGCGAGCGCCGGTCGGGACCGGCGCGCTGGTGGCCGTCAGAGCCCCGCATGTCAGCGGCGCGGACCGCGCGCTGGCCGGCAGAGAAAACGGCGGCGACCGCGGCGGCGCGGGGGGTACGTGGGCCGGCCGCTCGGCGCCGCTGGTGGCGCGCCCGACGCGCCGCGATTGGAAACAACTGGAGCGATTATGGAGAGGAGCGATTCATCAGCGGTGTTGGCGGCGTGCGGGCGCCGGCCGGGCCGGGCCTGGCGGCGCCGCGGGCGCGATGGATGAGCGCCGGCGCTGGGGGTGCGGCTGCGGTCCGTGCGGCGCTGATCGGCCTGCTGTGTCGGCCGGCCTCGGGTGGCGGGCCGGTCTGGCTACTCCGTGGCATTGTCGCTTGTGATGTCCGGCCTTTGTGTCGCCCAGTGGTGTGGCGTGGTTTGTTTGCGTTTGATTAAGCAGTGTTACCCGTGAAGATGCCAACCAGGAAGTAATATTTCACGTCGGAGGTGTGGAAAGCTAGGAGCTAAAGAGCAACTTAACGCTTCACATGGTGCTAAGGGATGAAAGAGCAACATTAAGCTTACGGCGCACGAATGCTGAAAGTCAGTGATATTATTAGGTCACCGTTACGAGATGTAGTCATTCTGGCTTTGACGTGCGCAGCCAGTCCGGACACGGCTGACCAACGTGGACACGTCCGCAGGTTTAACGATCTACACTGACTTGTTTACGCTGACGTACGTACACTGAGCGTGCAGTGCGCGGGTGTCGTCGGTTGGCGTTCTCGACGCCCTTCCAGCGGGGAGGTCTCCCCTGCTCGGGTGCTCCGGCTCCGCTCGGAGCGGCTGCGGCCGGCGGCTCGCGGCGATCGCCCTCCGGAGGGCCGGCGAGGGCGCGCGCGCTCCGTCACTGTCGTCGTCAGCCCCGCCGGCTAATCGCGAGCTGGAGCGCGTCGCGGCGCCGGCGAGAGATGCGCCGCGGAGTGCCTCCCTCAAAGGCGTGGCGGGTCCCGTCGCGCCGGTCGAGGCGGGGGCTGCGACGCCAATGACGGAGCGGGGACGCAGTCGCTAAGTGATGTAATCGATTTCTGGAACGAGCCTCTCTCGGCCGGCCGTGCCGTGGGCAGCCCTTCGGCGCGGCGCGCACCGCGGCGGGATGACTCACAGTGTCGGCCCGTCGGGCTCCCCTTTGCCGTTCCGCTCCGGCTCCCGCTGCGGCCGATGGGGGGTGCGCCAGGGGCGGCCAGCCGACGGGTCGCCGATCTCAGCGCTTTCTCATCACTTCGGTGACGGGAACGGGAAGGCGGCTGCCGAGTTCTCAGATGACTCGCGGGACTGGGCTCACAAGCCGAAGCGCGATTTAGAACGAGTTCAAGCCCCAATCGAGACTGGGGCAGGATGCTGAGCTGGAGATCACCGCGTCGACGAACAAACCAATAGATGACACCGCGCTAGCCTGGGTGCTCAGCAGCGATTAAGTGGCTCGAGGCCCGGCTGGGGATCGGCCGCATTCTGAGCTGGAAACGACCCGACCAAGCACGTTGCCCCGCTGAAACTGGCTGCCGGGCCGGGGCGATAGTAAAACTTCCCTGGAACGCCAGACAATAACAGCGGGAGGGCGGAGGCCGCGGTTACTGGGTCGGCACGATAGTAAAACGGTAGGGCGGGCCGCTTCGCATTACCCGCCGGGCGCGCGGCAGCCAGCTTCGGTGCCCTATCGGGTAGTGGTTTCGAGTCGGCCGGGTCTGAACCGGCCGCAAGATTAACGAGCCGCCGCCGCAAAAGCTAACGAAGGCGTGCGCATTTTGGCCTTGTACGCTTTGTCCCGCTGCGCATCCTTCCACCTGGCGGCAGCTGGCTGCACCTCTTCGCGTTGGGGTCGAGAATGAAACTTTTATTGTCGGCGTCGGAGATAACAGAGCTAAGCCAGTGTG